GGGAAAGGCAGGGCCGTGTTAGTCATGTTCCAGTCGGGTGGCAAGCCTGGTTAGAGCTGGGTTCCCGTGTTTAACCTTCAGGCCCCTCCTCCGTGAGGCAGCCTTTCTGACTGAGCTTGGCTCTGCCCCTGCTCTTGTCCTTTTCCTGGAGTAGAGGCCTAGGCCAGAGCTGGGGCCACTGGGAAGCAGGAAGCCTTCATGTGGGACAGTGGGTGCTGTGTGGCCCTCGACAGTGACTTCCCTCTTTGGCCTCCTGGTTTGAGAAGGAGGAAGGAAGAAGACTTCCCACCCACCCAGACTGTTCAGAGGGCCCATCCTGGCCTGGTCTACACGCCTGGCACAGGCTGGGCCGAGTCAGCAGTCAGGAAGGGGGTGCCGCCATGGCCACACCCAGCCCCACACTGGGCCTGTAGCTGTGGCTAACCAAGCATGGTCCCTCCCTGTGCCCGCCACACCACAGGATGCTGAAGGCTCTGGAGAGAAGGGACTGGTGACCAGGCCTGTAGACGCAGGCTTGGTGCTGGGAGCTGCACCAAGTGTCACTGTGAAGTTGATTCCAGGCCTGGCAGAGATGCTGTACAGCCCCGGTGTGCCCTGCCACCACCGCCTCTTGGTATCCAGAGTCCATCCACCTCTGGTCACCCTTCCCAACCTGCCCCGCAGCCAGAGGGAGCCATGGGAACTCCGAGTTAGGTCCTTCCCTGCCTAGAGCCCCACAACCATCAGCTCCTGTCGCCTCCCTGGTGTGCAGGTCAGGGGCTTGGCTCTTCCCACACCTGCTCTCTGCTCAGGCATCCCATGACAGCGAGGACTGACCAGCCACTTTGAGAGCCCTGACAACCATGCTCCAGCACTTCCTCAGTACTCTCATGGGACCACCCACTTGTCTCCTGTGGGTCTCGTTCATTGAGTGTGAGCTTGTGAGCCTGGGCTCTAGGCCTGACAGGCACCGGTCTAGGTTGTAAGGGGCAGGGGTCGGGGGTGTGAGAAGAAGGGGCTGACAGGGCTAGAGGTGTGGCTCAAGTGGTAGAGTGTCTGCTTTGCAAGTAAAAAGCTCTGAGTTCAAACCCCAGTCCCATGAAAAAACAATAAAAAATACCGAAAACAATAACAACAAACTAGTTTAGTGATTTATAAAAAAAAAAAAAAAAAAAAAAAAAAAAGAAGGGGCTGACAGACGTGGCCTCCGGGATCTTGAGAGACCTTGGAGGAGCTAGGCTAGGAGCGGGAGGCAGGGGTGTGGCTGGGCCTGGTGGTAGTGAGGCAGTAGAGTGGCAGCAAGGAGCCTGCTGTGGGCTGTGAAAGGGAGCCAGGTGTCCCTCTGTTGTCACAGCCCAGCCCTGGAAGGTGGGGGGTGGGGCAAACTGAGTCAGGGCTGGGTCTTCCCAGAGCTGGTCAATAAAGACCATGGTAGAAGGTAAGTAAGGGACCAGCCTGGAGACCACAAGCACACACTTCTTCCTTGTCTCTTCCTGATGGGGTTTCTGGGTGGTGCTGAAGGGAGACCAGGACCCCGGCCTCGAGCCTCGTACCTGCCTGGGCCCTGGTTCCAGCTGCACCACTGCCATCCATTGCCTGCTTCAAAGCCAGGGTGGGGGCGAGGGCCAGAGGTGCACACACAGCATTTGCACACAACCCAGATGCACGAATGTACCTTGCCCTGCCACCGGGGTGATAACCTGGCGTGGGAGATGGGCCACTATCTCCTCTTGGAAGGTCAGAGGGTAGAGAACAGACACTGGGGTGCAGGGGTGCCCGGAAAGTTGGACTGTCTCATGCTAAAGAATTCAAGAGATTATCCCAAACTGAAGTAAGCGTTTCTAAGTGGGGTACAGAGGGTGCCTCATTTTTCCCATCAGACCCTGGACTTCAGAGGTGTCCCCTGGCTGCACTCCACACTACTCCCTTCTATCTCTAGACTCTGTTCCCTGCAGTCACTGGGTCACCCTCTGTGACTTTCCCCACTGTCAGGCCTTGCCTGAGGTGGCTCACAGTGCTGTAAGGGGGAGGGGGTGCACCAGGAGCAAGGACGGGTGACCTAGACTTGTGGCACTGACCTTCTAGGGCAGAGACAGCCACAAAAGAATTAAGCAGGCACAGGCACGTGTACACAGCACATAGGCCATCTGTATGGGACAAGTGAAGAAAGTAGTGCAGAGAAAGGCTGAAAAGCCACACGGTGGGTGGAGGCCCTGCCTGCCGCTGGGGGGAGCACAACCCCACTGAGGGATTGGGTTTGGGATTGGTGATGAGCTGGAGGGGGGGCACGTGGCCATGCAGAGTGAGGGACTGAAGAGTGGGGGCCAGGATTGGAGAGGAGAGGAGAGCTTGGCGGTGAGGTAATGGACGGATCCCGCAGGGACTCTGACTATGAGGAGGAGTTGGGGGGCCAGCAGGGTGGGTGGTTTTAAAGGATATGGAATCTATAGGAGATCAGTCAGTCTCCAAGCAACTCTGCTGGGTGACTTCAGAGCCTCAGTTTCCATGTATGTAAAATGGGGTTCAGGAAGGCCACTGCACCGAGGTTGCAGAATCTGTGAGTTCCACCTCAGCGTCTGCCCAAGGTCGTGGGTCCCCTCGAGGTGGCAAGGATGATGTCAGTGCCAGAAGTACTGGAACTGAGTTCTGGTGAGCCACATGTGGTGGCAGGGACAGGTTTTTAAACATTTTTTCTGCTGCAGTCTGTCTTGTCAAAGGCCCTCAGGAAAGGCAGATAAGCAGCCCTGGGAGGGGGGCCAGGCACCCCACTTTCCCACTTTGTTGCCTGCCACTGCCTGCAGAGGCCAGGCCACATAGGAGCCCCTCCTTCCCCTTCGTCCCTGTGCTCCCCCAGACAAGGGCAAGAGAGTAAAGGCAAGGTCTGGGCATGGCCAGAGAAGACAGAACAGTGGGCAGGACCAGCCTTGGAGACCAGAATAACAGACAGAACCAACTGCCTGGCCACAGCTCTGGACAGGCGGGTCAGAGCTTTGCTGCCCAACTATCTGGGTTCCAATTCTGGCAGCTTCTCACCAACCTAGCTGGGTACCCTGGATAAGGGCCTGCCTTCCCTGGGCCTCAGTTTCTCATCTGAGAGTTGGGCCATGAGAGCCCCTATGACAGGGTGGCAGGGCCTACCTAGCACACGCTGATTTCTGCACAAGTGGCTGCCACAGGCTCCAGAGTCTGATGTCCACCTTGCCACTCCTGCTGTGTCACCTGACAAGCTGGGTTGCCCTCTCTGCCAATTTCCTTGTTTGTGGCATGGGCTTGTAATGGCCCCTTCCTCCTGAGCCAAGAGCACAGTTTAAACGAGAGATGCTAGATAAAGTGCTTAGAAGAGGGACACACACAGTAGGTGTACAGTTCATGCTGGTTGCTGTTGTCATGGTGTCTGGCATTGAGTGTTTATTGTGTGCTGTCTGCTTTGACTCCAGTCCCAGTGACTCTGGGCCCCGCTTGCAGCACTGTGTTCACTTGTGTTCTGTGCCACTCATTGTCAAACTATGCTGTCCTCGCTGACTTAACAGAGTGGGAAACTGAGGCACAGAGTGGCTGAGTTGCTTGACGAGGACCATGCATTGAGCTTCGTGGTGTGGGCTGGGTTGGGTTATCCCAGGTCACAGAGAGAGAAGTGAGGATGCACAATGTTATCAGTGAGCTGGAATTCTTGCTCAGTGCTGCCTGGCTTTGGAGCTCTGAGCTGAGCTGGCCTGGGGACCCAGCCCTCTCACAAGTCAGTAGTTTGCGGTGGTGGCAGAGCCTGGAGCTTGCCTGGGTGGGGCCCCTGCCTGGTCATTATAAACATGGCCAGTTCCTCTGTTTGTCCTGCCCTCCATGCAGTGCCCAGAGGAAAGGGGTGGCCAGGGCAGATATCCGGAGGTGTGCCCCTCTTCCCCTTCCCTGCAGGGTCACCCGTGGCTTCAGCCAGCAGGCAAGACTGGGGGTGATGGGTGGGGACTCTACACTATGGGTGGGCAGGCTGTCTATACAGCCCTGCCCATCTCTATCCTGAGCTCCTCCCACCTTAGGATCTGCCCTCCCACCCTGGGTTTACTAAGGGATCCTATGACTAGCCCTGCTCTTGCAGAAGCCTGGGAGCTACCTGGGAGTGGTGGTGGGGAGTGACAGGCATCACCAACAGTTCAAAGTAAGGACAGACTGGACACAGATGGCAGGAGGCCACAGGATGTTTGGCCCAGAGTGAGGCCATGCAGAGGACACTGGGGAGGTAGGGGACTATTGGGGACAGCCCTGGGAGCTGGAACTGAAGACTAGGAGATAGGTCAAGTTGAGGCTCCCAGGACTGGTCAGGCATGGGAAGAACCTGAGTTGAGGGAGACCCTGAGAGAGGGCTCCTGGCTGGGGCAGAAGCCAGAGGTACCTTTCCTGCCTGGCTGCCCCAGCCCACATCTGGGCATCTGGCCTGGGCAAGCAGAGAATCTGGGCCAGCTAGGGGAGAGTCCTGGGCAGGTGGCTCTGACCACTCAGGGCCTCCTGGGACCAGTTTAGACAGGATGACTGCTGGGCCCTCACCTGCCTCCCACTGGACTCCAGTTGCCAAACCGGTTTCCCCAGTTGGCTCCCTGGCTGGCTTTCCATCTCTGGGCTCGGCTGCCCCCCTCCCCCTCCAACCAGCTCTCTCAGGATGGCAGCCACTTGTCATCATGGCTGGGCCTAGCCTGTCCCCAGCACTGTGCCAGACACTGGGGTGCTCTCTGGGAACAAGACAGAAGTCCCAACAGCACCTCTCCTGTCCTTTAGACCTCACCTCTGTGCCCTTCTCCTGGGACACCTCCCTTAGCCTCCCCCCACCCCTTGCCATTTGCAGGTCCCTGACCACTCTGGGTTGTCACCATCTAGGACAGGTCTTTCTGCATCCCCCACCCCCACCCTGCCCCATGGATACCCCAGGAGGTCAAAAGCTATCTGGATGATCACCCTGTATTCCTGACACCGGCCAGCAGAGGCCTGTTGGTGAGTCAGTGAATGAAGGAATGAGCAGGTCTTTCTCCCATTTTGCAGATGAGTGACCCAAGACCCCAAGAGGAGACGTCACCTGCCCAAGGGCACTTCTAGCCCAGCCAACCTCAGACCAGGTGTGTGTGACTAGGCTGTGTGGGATACTGCAGGACACCAAAGGGACCATTCTGATAATTATAGCCACCCACCTGGCAGACCTGCATTTGCGCCATCATCCCTCACAGCGATCTTGTGGGGCTGTTCTGTGGCATGAAGGATCACAGGGTGGCGAAGGGAGTTATGCTCTGGCCACCTGGCTCCCAGCAGGTGCCACCCTCAGCTTCCCCTCAGCCTTGATGCTGGTACTGTTCTAAGTGCCCGATTGCAGGTCCAGGCCCTGAAGGTGGGTGAGGGCACCTGGTGCCCACATGGCAGTAGCCATTGGTTGAAGCCGGGTGGCATGCTGAGCTCTTCCCTGAGCATTTAGTGTGCCTTGTCCAGGGAGAGACTAGTGGTGGGCCTGGCCTGGCCCTGGCCTAGTGGGGAAGGGGGCGCCAGATTAGTGAACAGGAGAACCAACCACATAATTGCTCTGAAAAGAAAGTGAGTCAGTGGGGGCCTGGCAGGACTGGACAGGACGGGACGGCATGGGCTGCTCTAACTGGAGTGGCTGGGAAAGGATTCAGCAGCCACTCAGAACTAAAGGAGGGGAAAGAGGGAGGGAGCCCTGGGGAACGGTGTTCTGGGCAGAAGAATCAGCCCATTCAAAGCCCCTGAGGTATGAAAACTGATGTGATGTGAAGGAGAGACGAGACAGGGGTGGGAACATGGTCTGTGTGGGGTTTCTTGGGCTAGAAGGAGGACTCTGACCATGACCCTAAATGAGGAAGAGCCACAAGTGCTCTGAGCAGGCCAGGGCTGTGGAAGCAAGAGGAAGTTGCTGCCCCCTGGTGGTCCAGGTGGGAGGGGAGGCTGCAGGGACCAGGGCAGTTGGGCAGGTTTGGGTGAGTGTCCACCGACTGCTGACCCGCCACCAATAGTGCTTCCTTCCTGCAGGCACCCACCAGGAGCCCAGGCCCCAGAGCCATGTTCGGGAAGAGGAAGAAGCGAGTGGAGATCTCAGCGCCCTCCAACTTCGAGCACCGTGTGCACACTGGCTTCGACCAGCATGAGCAGAAGTTCACAGGGCTGCCCCGCCAGTGGCAGAGCCTGATCGAGGAGTCGGCTCGGCGGCCCAAGCCCCTGGTCGACCCTGCCTGCATTACCTCCATCCAGCCTGGGGCCCCCAAGGTGCGTCACCACACGCCTGCCCATGCCAACCCAAGGGCCCAGCTTGTACACACACACACACACGCACATGTATGAAGTTGTGAGAGTTGTGACATTGGTTCCCATGCCTGGGTGTGGCCTGCAGCCAGAAGGCCAAACCTGGTAAGGGCCAAACCTGGCGTTACCAAGTTTGTCCCTGGTGGGTGGAGTCAGGAAAGCCTGCAAATGACATCCTCTTCTGGTCCCAGACCTGGCCAGGAGGAGGCCCAGGGTTAGCGAGGTGACCATACATAGCCACAGTACCCGGTCTCATTCTGGGCCCATTGAGGTGTTTCAGTGTCCACGGGGTACTGAGTTCTTTGGCTTCTGTGCCACACATCAAAGCAAGTCTTCATGTCCAAGGCTGTAAGTTTGGCATTTCACTCCATATACCAACTGAAGTGGTTACAGGCTTTTCTGTATACCATCTGTATACCCTCACTGCATTCCATGCTTAGCCCTGGGCCACTGGCTACAGGTTGTGCTCACAGACTTGTCTCCAGAAATCTAGTCCTGTCCACTCACCAGCAGGAGCCCTCTACAGCATCCCCCAGGAGGAAGTGACCCTTATCTTAAGTCACACAAAGGGGCCTCTTGGGCTGGTCCTTGCCTTAGACCCCGGGGACCCTTGGGTTTTCTACCCTTGGCTGGGACTCCTCAATCTTCCCAGGGCCCTTTTGACCCTTGTAACACCAAAGCCTGAACAGGTGTTCACTGCTCTCCTGGGCTCCCTGGGCAGTACCACACTTACAGCGGGCAGGCAGTGCCCCAGAGAGCAGGGCAGCAGCAGGCCAGCGGGGGCTCTGGGGCCTACAGGCGCTTTTTGTGGAGTGTGGTTCTCTGCATGTCAGACGCAGCCTTGGGCCCATGGCCCTGTGTGCCAGCTTCTGGTAGCAATCAGGGCCCATTCTCCTTTCCCAGTCCTTTCCCCACTGGTTCAGTCCCTTCTGTGTGCCAGCCTCTGCTTTAGGGGCTGAGATGTAGCAGGACTGGAAGGATCACTGTTCTCCAAGCAGAGCAATGGACAGACCCACACATACTCTGTTAGCTGGGGTACATGCCTGGGGGAAAGGAAGCAGGGAGTCAGGGGCTGGCTTGTCACCCGCACCCCAGTTCTGGAGATGGAACCCAGGGCCTCACACCACTGGGCAAGCCTCTACCACTAAGCTTCACCCCCACCTCGGGGCTGGCAGGTAGACTGGGGTGGGGGCAAGATTGTCAGCCAAGCCTACTTTTGAGCGAAGACCTAAGGAGGAAAGGGAGGGAGGGAACCATGGGGACATTGGGGGAAGAGAGAAGTTCCAGGCCATGGGAACAGCAGTGCGTAGGCCCTGAGTGGGGGGCACGTGTCTGGTGTGTTTGAGGAGCAGTAAGAAGGCCGTGACTCGGAGGCCAGGATGCAGCCAGCAAGCGTGGGGAAGCATCACATTTGCACGTGGCTCCCAGGGCCTCTTGCCCTCTTCCTTAAGGCCAGGCCTTTCTCACTCTCTCTGCACCTGACCCTCAGCCTCCAGGGGAGCAGAGAGCACAGTGTTGGGGTTAACGACCCTGGCAGCCTGCAGGGGAAGAAGGGCCGCCAGCCCTAGCCCTAGAGGCCTGTAATTTGTGGCTCTCCAGGGCTGATTACAGGCTGGGTTGGCCTCTCCCTCCCACAGACCAGGGCTCTCCCTCAGTCTGTGGAGCCAGGGAAAGACAGGGTGCTTCTCAGGGGTGCCAGCCAGCCCCAGTGTGGTCCACCAGCCTGGCTGCGGAACTCCTTCACCCGTGGTTGAGTGCCGGGGGGCTGTGGGGCCCCCAGTTCTCCCCACCTGCCCACCCATCACCACCATAGCATTTCTTCATTCCGTCTCTGTCTTGTCTCTGTGTGTGTGTTGTGTTGTCCTGTCTCTGTGTTGGATGCCCGTACTGTGTCCCCTCCTTGCCTGGCCCCCACCCTGCCATGCCCTGGACCCCAGACCATCGTGCGGGGCAGCAAAGGTGCCAAGGATGGGGCCCTCACACTGCTGCTCGACGAGTTTGAGAATATGTCGGTGACACGCTCCAACTCCCTACGGAGAGACAGCCCGCCGCCCCCCGGCCGCCCCCGCCAGGAAAATGGGATGCCAGAGGAGCGGGCCCCCACGGCCAGAGGGTCCCCAGAGAAGGCTGGAGGCCGAGGCCGGGCCACCAGTCGCAATGAGGCGGGTGGTGGCAGCGGTGACAGGCGGCGGGTGGGGCCGGAGAAGAGGCCCAAGTCTTCCAAGGAGGGCCCAACAGGGTCCCAGGAGTCCTCCAGGGACAAACGTCCCCTCTCCGGGCCTGACGTCGGCACCCCCCAACCTGCCGGTCTGGCCAGTGGAGCGAAACTGGCAGCTGGCAGGCCCTTTAACACATACCCACGGGCCGACACGGACCACCCACCCCGGGGGGCCCAGGTAACCTGCTCCCACCTCAGGACCCCACTATCCCCTGCCCATTGTACCCCCCTCCCCCACTTACCTGCCCTGGCCCAGTGCCTGTCATCGCTCATCCTGACCACCCATGTGTCTGTCCCTCAGCTCAGGGAGAGAGTGGGCGACCCTACCTCACGGCTGCCTCTTTCCTCTGTTTCAGGGGGAGACTCACGACATGGCTCCTAATGGGCCATCAGCAGGGGGCCTGGCTGCCCCCCAGTCCTCCCGGCCTCCTGCCAGAGCCCGTGGAACCCCCAGCCCTGGTGTGCTGGGCCCCCATGCCTCGGAGCCCCAGCTGGCCCCTCCAGCCCGTGCCCTTGCCTCCCCTGCCGTGCCCCCTGCGACTGGACCTCCTGGGCCCCGCTCACCCCAGCGAGAGCCCCAGCGAGTGTCCCATGAGCAGTTCCGGGCTGCCCTGCAGCTGGTGGTGGACCCAGGGGACCCTCGCTCCTACCTGGACAACTTCATCAAGATCGGCGAGGGCTCCACAGGCATCGTGTGCATTGCCACCGTGCGCAGCTCAGGCAAGTTGGTGGCCGTGAAGAAAATGGACCTGCGCAAGCAGCAGCGGCGCGAGCTGCTCTTCAATGAGGTGGGTGAGGGTGGGAACAGGTGGCTACAGCCCAACCCTGGGCCCTCTCACTGCCTGGGCCAGGTCGGCCCAGCAGAAGGTTCCTGCCTCTGTCCTCCCAGTACCCACTCCTCTGCCCCCATCCCAGTGCCATCGCAGCCTCCCCCACCGACTCTCACCTGGCCTGCAGAGTCTCCCCTCCAAACCTGTCTCCCTCCAGGTCCCAAACTCCGTACTGGAACTCTGATGCTGACCGCCCCTGGCCCTTGCCTCCATGAGGCCTCATCCTCTCACCCTCAGGCTCCTGTCCCAGGTCCCCTCTTGGCCATCCTCTGGACATTCCCCACACCACAGCCAAAGAGTCTTCAACATTCAGGCCTGTCATGTCCCCATCCCTGCTTTTTAGATCCTCACAGCACCTCCTGGCCCTCAGGATAAGAGCCCTGGCCCCTTTGCCAAACTTTGAGGCCCTTTTCCATCCAGCCTCCAGCTAGGCATTTGGGTTTGTCCAGTTTCCAGCTCCGGCTCTTGATAGCCTCCTGTTACGAGAATTATCTTTTGGCTCCAATGCAGGAGGCTGCAGAGGTCGGACTGGAAGCTAGGCAGGGCTGGCTCCCTTTCCATGCTTACTGGTCCCCAGAGGCTGTGTCCCCAAAGCCTGCAGGCCTTTCCCTTGCCAGTCCTTGCTCCTGGATTTCTGGATTTCTTCATCATTCTAACACACATACACACACACCTTTTATTTTAACCGCTTGTCCCTCTGGTCTCACCCCTGTGTTAGACGCTCTTCCCTTCTCTCCCAGCATCAGCTGATCATCAGGGTCCCTCAGAGACCAGCCAGGACCAGTCAGAGGTTGGGATGGGAAAGTGTGGTGGTGTGTGGGGTAAAGGTTGCACCCCGGAACGGAGGTGCCAGGCCTCAAGCTGGGTGTGAGGGCTGCTTGACTTTAGTAGCAGGGAGCAGCCCTAGGAGCAGGAGCGAGGGGCTTGAGGGGGGCTGGTGGGAGGCCACTGGGCTGGGTGTGAAGGCCAAGGCCGGGCTCTGCTCCTCCCCCAGGTGGTCATTATGAGGGACTACCGGCACGAGAACGTGGTGGAGATGTACAATAGCTACCTGGTGGGGGACGAGCTCTGGGTGGTGATGGAGTTCCTGGAGGGAGGCGCCCTCACTGACATCGTCACCCACACCAGGTACTGCAGGTGGCTCCATCCCGCTGGAATCGGGCCCCTCCACCTCCCCTAGTACAGGACCAAGGCCCCCAGGCCGCCCAGGCAGGGCCTCGTGTGAGCAGTGCTGCCAGACCCCAGGGTTGATACTGACTCCCCAAGGCAGGGCACCCGCTCCTTGGACGCCCTCCCCACCCCAAGGCAGGGCCACATCCTTCTGCCCAGTCACTTCCTCCACCGCACAGGATGAATGAGGAGCAGATCGCTGCCGTGTGCCTGGCTGTGCTGCAGGCCTTGTCGGTGCTTCACGCCCAGGGCGTCATCCACAGGGACATCAAGAGTGACTCCATCCTCCTGACCCACGATGGCAGGGTGAGCAGGCGGGCCCCTCTGCTGGGAAGGCAGGCGCTGAGCCCTGTCCAGGGACGGGAAGAGCAGTCACCGTGGGGACCCAGGTCGGTGGGGCTGTCCTGTCAGCACAGAGCTGGGCGCTGACTAGCCCTGGACCACAGCCTCAGCAATGCTTCCCAGCCAAGCAGTCAGGGTAGGCTGTCTCCCCTCTTTTGGACTGGTGTTCTGAATCTGGGGTCATGCCTGAGCTGGGCTTGCATCTGTACTCATGGGGGCCATGATCTTTATGCTAACCATGCCTACCCCTTTTCTTCTCTGTTGGCTGATTGCTTCCGGTATTTTGTTACAGTGACCGAAAACTGGCTGACATTGTTCCCTCCATACTTTTGTTTTTTTTTTTTTTAGTGGCATTGGTGCTTGAACTCAGGGCCTCATGCTTGCTAGGCAGGTGCTGTACCACTTGAGCCACTCCGCCAGGCCCCTGCATACTTAAATGGCAACAACAGATAGCACTAATGACAGCCCGAAGTGCCCACTGGGTCAGCCCTAGGTTCAGGGAGCTGAGCAATATTCATGGAGGACTAAGTGCTGGGAGGGAGGCCTGGAGCCATAAACTAGAAAGGTCATGCATCGGGTGCTGTGCCTGTCATCCTAGGTACTTGGGATGCTGAGATCAGGAGGATCATGGTTTAAGACCAGCCTGGGAAAATAGTTTGAGAGACCCCATCTCCAAAATAACCAGAGCAAAATGGAGACTGGAGGTGTGGCTCAAGTGGTACAGCGCAAGTGCAAAGCCCTGAATTCAAATTCCCACCCAAAAAAAACTCATGCATCAACTCCAGGATGTCTCCTGGCCCAGCCTGAGAGACAGCAGGGACACAGTGTGTGCTCTGCAGCTTGAGACCCTCTGTGGAGAGAGCCCTGAGCCCACTGCATTTCTGCAGAAGTCAGTGACTACACTCCTCCTTTTTAGTGTCCCGCCCACACCCCCCCATCAGTGGAGCCCAGGAGAGAGCCCAGGCTGTATGCAGATGTTAGGGGACAGCCAGAGCTTCCTGAAGTTGTGGTGTGTGGGTGTTTTCTGGGGGTGAGAGTCTGAAAGGGCCCTCCACAGTTCCGAGCATGGTGTAAATCCCTGATCCCTGGTTCTGGAACACACACACATACTAGGTAGGTCCATTGTTTCTCAAACCTGCAAACTGAAGACACACTCCCTCCAGGGAAATGGGCCTAGGACGGCAGCTCTTAGAGCAGGCCTGTCTCAGCCCCTTCCCACCTTGTGGCACCTGCAGGCCTCCAGTCACTTCTCCCAAGAGGCCCAGGGCACCTGGTGGCCCCTGCCAGGCAGCAGGATCACCCATCAGTCCAGCTGCAGAGCTCAGCCCTGGTGTCTGGGCTGCAGGATGGAGCCAGAGTGGCAGAGGCCAAGCCGTTAGACACGCCCTGGCGTCTCTGACCTGCTGCCTCTGCCCCAACCTCAGGTGAAGCTGTCCGACTTTGGGTTCTGCGCCCAAGTAAGCAAGGAGGTGCCACGGAGGAAGTCACTTGTCGGCACACCCTATTGGATGGCCCCTGAACTCATCTCCCGCCTTCCCTATGGACCAGAGGTGAGCCATGTGGTAGCCCAGCTGTCTTGCTGACGGGGGAGCACCTGGGGGATGGTTTCGAAGAAGAGGAGGTAGGGTGTGCATGTGTGTGCACTATTTATTTGCTCGTTGTTGATTGACTGCTAGTTCTGAGCCAGGCTGGGGGCTTGGCAGTGGGAAAAGAATGCTCAACAGAAGTGCCCATTAGTCCGCCCAGAAGGATGGTGCAGAGGCTGCACGTGGGCAGGCTTCTGGCTGCTGTGACATTTTAAAATGAGAGCTTATGCGTAAATGTCGGTGTCCACCCTCTGTTGGAAACCAGGTCTGGCACAGGAGGCCAAATGTCCCCCCACCAGTCAGTGGTGCTGAGCAGTGGTGTGCCCTTGTTCTGGCCACAGTCCCCACCCATCCCAGTTGCCCCCTCTGTCCTGCTTTACTTACTGCTGTTACTTACCTGGCACGGGGACTTAACCAGTGCCTGCTGAGGAGTAAGGCACCCTGAGAAGCACATTCTGGAGGACTCGGGAGCAGCCCACTGGAAGAGGAAGGGACATCTTAGTAAGGACTGCCTGTGAGTCACAGGAAGCAAGCACAAACCAAACCGGGAAGGTGCTCAGTCCCTACAACTGTGAACTTCCAGTAAATTGGCTTCAGACAGCCATCTGCCCTGGCCTTGATTTCCTCAGGGTTATCTTGGTCCCTTACAGGGGCAGTGAACTCCACTAGGTTCCCTGATGGTTTGAGGGAAGCCTGTGACTAGCTCTGATTGGCTCATCTTAGGTCATGTGTGCCTGCCTGAGCCAATCCCTGTGTCCCATCTGCTGATCGGGCATCCTGAACCCACCTCTGGGAACTCAGGAAGGGAGGGAGATGCCAGCAGATGCCTGGGTATGGTTAGCAGGGAGCTGGCGGCTGGGTGCTTGGTGAATAGCACTCTTCTGAGGGCTTCCTGGAGGAAGAATGCAGTGGGGTGTGGCTAGCTACCATCCATAAGTGTTCTGGTCCAGGATTCCAGGAGTGAAGAGGCAGAGGTAGAACTGGGGCCATCCCTCCTCTGGGCTTTCTGGAGGCCTGGCTGTCACTTTGCAGCCCAGCCCTGCCATCCTTTCCTCCACCCCAGGTGGACATCTGGTCGCTGGGGGTAATGGTGATCGAGATGGTGGACGGGGAGCCCCCCTACTTCAATGAGCCACCCCTCAAAGCCATGAAGATGATTCGAGACAACCTGCCACCCCGGCTGAAAAACCTGCACAAGGTGGGCCCTCTGGCAGGGAGACAGCGCGTGCATGTATGCAGGCACATGGCCGGGCGGCACACAGGGCCTGGCGTGGACAGTCCTGTGGCATTAGTGCTCCTAGCCCTGGGTGCTTGGTCCCCGGCCCCCAGCGCGGGTGTCTGTGTACGCAGCCTTGCGCTGACACCACACCGCAGAAACAGCAGAGCCACGGGCCCTGCACCCTACCCTCCAGAGGCAGGCCAGCCGGCGTGAGCCTTCTGGTGGACTCCGGTGGGAGGAGCGTGCACCCCTCAGCCAAGCTGTGGATCCCCGAGACTCCTTTCCCCTCCCCAGGCAGTAAGTGCCAGCAGCCCAGGGGCTGGCACCACAGACCCTGACCCTGCCTCCTCCCTGCAGGTGTCGCCATCTCTGAAGGGCTTCCTGGACCGCCTGCTGGTACGTGACCCCGCCCAGCGGGCCACAGCGGCCGAGCTGCTGAAGCACCCATTCTTAGCCAAGGCGGGGCCGCCTGCCAGCATTGTGCCACTCATGCGCCAGCACCGCAACAGATGAGGCCCGCGCCCTGGCCCTGAACCAAAGAGCCCCTGGGGTTGTCCTGCCCTGCCGGAGGCCAGTAGGAGCCAGCCCGTCCTGCCAGCCGCCAGTCACTCCTCCCTGGGGCTCTGTGGACCCTACTACTGAGCTCTGGTTTTGATTCTGGGACTTCAAACACCGCAGGGACCTGTGGGAGCAAGAGAGGCTCCCAGAACCCCACTCTCCAGGACAGGCCCTCCTGGTGCTCTCTCCCCAGGGAGGAAGGCAGCCACCAGCACTGGAAACCTGCAGCAGGGGTCACTGGGGGCAGAGAGAACACTGGGAGAGGGGTGTGAGAGTGTGTGTGTGTGTGCGTGTGTGCACGTGCAGAACAAGTCCAGCTTACTCTGCTCAGCATGCAAGTAGCGATCTCTGAGACCTGCCTGGCACCCAGCCCCCGCCCCCTGAGCCATTGTGGGGGTCAGTCATGAATGTCTGAAGAGTGGCCTTCCCGGGAGCCCATGCTCCCTTTCTGCTGCTGGAAGGGGACCAGTCAGCCCCACCCCCACAAGCCTCCGCAGCAAGTGACTACTGCACCGGACTCCTCCGTTTTCTACAAGTCTATTTATATTGTCATTTTATAACACTAGCCTCTGCCCCCGCCTGGGGACAGGTAACCCCTGCCCTGTGGGGTGGCCTGGGGACAGAAGCCACTGCCAGAGTGTCAGGTTCCTGTCCTGTGATTCCCCTCCCACACCCCCAAGTTAGTTTTACAATTAAAACTCTTTCTTGTTTTGTGTGTGTGTATAGGCCTCTGCCTGGCCATCTTGGGGGGGGTGGAATTAAGAGGGCTGCAGCCTGGGGACCCAGGCTTCTGTGGGCAGATACCCCACACACACTCCCTGGAGGGGACAGGCAGACCCCAGCCCTGGAAGCAGCCTGCTGGCCAGAATCCATGATTCGATTCGTGGTGGCTAACTGATGTCCTGGAAACTTTAAGCTGGTTTGCCCCAAGCGTATTCAGTGGGTAGGAATGGGCCCCTGGTGAGTTGTACATGGGCTTGAGCAAACTGGTCAGTGTGCTCTTTGGGGCCTAAAGGCTGGGGAGCTGGAGCTGCCTGCTTGAACTGCCCGCCAGCAGAGGGCGGAGGTGACCTTGCATCCTCCCCCAGCTCGGGCAGAGCTGCACCTCCAGGGCTGACTGCGCCTGGTACCAGGACCTGTTCCTGAGTGAGGGCAGAGGCTCGGGTCAGTCCACATAGCCTCTCCTCCACTGCCATGGGGCCCTCACTCAGCAGTCTTGGCCTCCTTAGAGTCAGGGCACGTGGGTAGAGCCGTGACAAGTGCCTCGTGAATGGTCAAGGACTCAGACATCACACAACGCTTATGGGAGTATGTTCAAGAACTAGGTAAAGTGCACATGCTCTGGAAAGAAAGAGGCCAGAACTGACAAAGAAGAAGAAGAAAAAAAAAAGCTTAGGCTTGTTGGAGATGGTGGCACATACCTGTAATCACAGAGACTTGGGAAGCAGAAATTGGAAGATGACGGTCTGAGGCTGGCCCCAGGCAAAAACCTGAGAGCCTATCTGAAAAATAAAGCAAACAGGGCTGGGTTGTGGCCCAAGTGGTAGAGCCCCTGCCTAGCTCAAGCAAGGCCCCGAGTTCAAATTCCAGTACTGCCCCCCAAGAAAAGCTGGAGGTTTAAACACCAACAAGTGAGATTACCAAACATTGAAAGAGCAGGTGATTCCTACCCTGTTTAAGTTCCAGAAAATAGGGCCAGCATAACACCACCCCACTCATTAGGAGCTGGTGTGACGGGGACCCAAAACCAGGTAGCGGTAAGCAGCAGAACATTCCAGAGCCACATGGCTGACCACCAGAGTGCCCTGTGGTCTTGCTGGGCTCACCCACTTCAGGTAAAGAAATTACCTAACAGGAGGTGTTGCCTGTGCACACGTGTCCAGCACCTTCAGACACTGTCGCTGCAGTTGGAAGGAATGGTTGTGGGTGGCCCAGCAGGAGCTGCTCCTGGAGGCCTGTCCTCCCACTGCTTTGCCTTCTACCACTGTCACCTGTGCCCTAGGGACCCCATGGGACAGCCACTGCCCATTTTTTTTGGGGGGGGAAGGGAAGGCTGGAGGGGCTCAAGAATGCTGGGCACTCATTGATCAGTGGAGGCAGCTGGCTGCTGCCACCCCTGTGACTGGAGGGGCCGAAAGGGTCCATGCTGCTACCCCAGGCCTCTCCTGGCTTCCCGCCACAGCCTTGCTCTACAGACTGGTTACGGTCTCACTTCCTTGCTGGGGACCCACTTTGTCCACTTTGTTCCTGGGACCTGGCCCTCTCCCAGGAACCAATATGAACTCAGCCAGCAGCAGCACTACTACTTGCTGTGGTAGTGCTGGGGCCCAGAGCGCCCACAGTGAGGCAGGGGCATCGCCTGCAAGTTGGGGGGTGGGCTGGGACCCAAAGTGAGTGATCAAAACATGTCAGAGCAGTGGTTCCAAGTGCTTTCTCCGCCCAGCAGCGGCCTGAGGACCTGGCTCCTACCCAGGCTGAATCAGAACCTGGACGGGCCCAGCAATCTGGATGCAATACTGGGGCTTGAACTCAGGACTCCACCCTTGCCAGCTCTACCTGAGCTACTACCCCAGCCCTTGTTTGTTTCTGTTAGTTTTCAGATAAGGTCTTACTTTTTTTTTTTTTTCCTTGGTGGTGCTGGGGTTTGAACTCAGGGCCTCACATTTGCTAGGCAGGTACTTTATCACTTGAGCCATTCTACCAATCCTGGGTTTTTGGGTTTTTTTTTTTTGACCTGGGCCAACCTCAGATCACACTCTTCCTACCTCTGCCTTCCACATAGATGGGATCACATAAACCCACCACCATGCCCAGCTTGCTTGTTGAGTTGGGGTCTCATTAACTTTTTGCCCCTGTAGCCTCAAATCATGGTCCTCCAGATTTCCACACCCCACACCCCCACCCCCACCCCCACATACTGGGATTACAGGTATGACCCACCATACCTAGACTTTGTTTTTTTGAGACAGGGTGATACTATGTAGCCCAAGACGGCCTCAAACTCACGATCTTCCTGCCTCAGCCTCCTGAGTGCTGGGATTACTGGCATGCACCACCATAAGTGGCCGGAATCTGTATTTTAACGAGCCCTCTGAGGATTCTGATGACTGATCCATTGTGGCAATCCCTGAGACAAAACATTGCTCTGTGCAAAACACCAAGCTGTGAGGATTCAGCCCTCCGAGTCACTGAATCCCAGCCTTGTTCATCCTGAGACTGGCCTCTCACATGTGCAAGGGGCACAGGAAAGGAGGGCGTTCCCCTTTAAGGACTCAACCCAGAGGTTGCTTAGTCCCATAGCCATGTCCAGAGGCAAGGCACACTGGGAAATGTAGTCTTTATTCTGGGCAGCCGTGTCTAAAAAAATTCTATGAAATTGTGCTGCTCTAGCCCTGTGTAGTTCGTCGGATTTGCTCGGCTTCACCTAACTTCTGACTAAATGACGACAGAGCGCCCAGAGGCAGCCCAGACGTGTGCAGGGGCTTCCATACAAGGATGAAGACGGGCAGACATGGTGGTTCACTTGTGGAATCCCCACACTTGGGAACTGAGGCAGGAGGATCAGGAGTTCAAGGCCAGCCTAGGCTACCTAGTGAGGCCCTATCTCAACAACAGCAACAAGAAGAAAGAAATTGTTGAGTAATATCACTGGGGAAATTGACTCCTTTTATGGAGAGAAAGAAAACGGAGTCCTTACCTAATTCTACCAAACAAAAAGGTAACCTGGACCTGTGCTATTAGGATGGGTCAGGAACCATATGACTATTTAATTTTTAATTAAGATGAAATAAGCCGGGTGCTGATGGCTCACGCCTGTAATCCTAGCTACTCAGGAGGCAGAGATCAGAAGGGTCATGGTTCAAAGGCAGCTGGAGCAAATAGTTCTCAAGACCCTATCTTGGAAAAACCCATCACAAAAAAAGGCTGGTGGAGTGGATCAAAGTTGTAGGCCCTGTGTTCAAACTCCAGTCCTGCAAAAACAAAAAACAAAACAAAAAAAAAGTGCCCTGCAGGCGCATGTGTTAAAAGCTTGGTCCCCCCATGGGCTTTTGAGAGGTGATTGAATCCTGAAGACTCCAACTTCATCAACAGACTAATCTATCTGAGTTAGTAGCTGGCTGGACTGTTAGAAGGTGGGGCCCGGCTGGAGGAAGTAAGTCACTGCGGGGAGGGGCTGGCACCTTTCAAGGGTGTACTTTGTCCCTAGACCCTTCCTCTCTGTCTCTGCTTCCCAGCAATGCTATAGTGCTCTGCCTCACCACGCACGGGCCTGGAAGCAACATCAAGTGACCACAGACTGAAAACATAACCCAAAATATTGTTCCTCCCCTAAGTTGTTTTCTCAGGTATTTTGTCACAGTGATTAACAGAAGAGTTGACAGAGGAAAGTACCTGGTGACCATGTGGCTGAGGTCTTCTGAAACAGAACTCCAAAGGAGCATGTAAAGAAAATGGCCAGGCGTCAGTGGCTCACGCCTGTAATCCTAGCTACTCAGGACGCAGAGATCAGGAGGATCACGGTTTGAAGCCAACCTGGGCGGAAACAGTTCTCGAGACCCTATCTTGAAAAACCTACCACAAAAAAAGTTCTCAAGTGGTAGAGCACCTTGCCTAGCAAGTGTGAAGCCCTAAACCCCAGTACTGCCAAAAAAAAAAAAAAAAGTCATTTACATATTAGAATGGGGGAGAAAGGGAACCACAGGAGAGGACACTCCCTGCCTTGGAGGACACTGGCATTGGGGGCCATGCAAAGCCTCCAGGGTTGTGGGCTGGTGTCTGGTCACGGGTACTAAGATAAAAACCATGCAGATGATTCTAATCTGCAGCCACGATTGAGAAGAGAACAGACCTGGGGAGCCACCCCACAGTCCGTCTGCCACAGTAAGTCATTGTGAACCCCAAACTTCACACCCACCTCCTGCAAACTTATCTGGCAGACCCATTTCACAGATATGGAAAGTGAGGGCCACAGAGGGAAAGGAACTTTCCCGGGGTCACAGCCTAGCTGGGCTCCAAGTCTTGGGTCCCTCGTTGACATTCCGTGTGCTGGCCCTCAGACTGGCCCGGGAATTGCAATGCAAATGCCCACAGCGGGCCAGGCAGGTGACATCAGTAAGCATGTGTGAGACCCCTGCAAGTGTGGCAGGTGCAACCCGTGGAGCACAGGGTGCTGTGGCCTTGACCAAATTGAGCACTGTGTTGCTCAATTTTTTTTTTTTGAGAAAACTCTGTTTTTCTTTTCTTTTTTTCTTTTTCTTTTCTTTTATTTCTTTCTTTTTTTTTTTTTTTT